CCTACATGAAACACCCCGGAGCCAGGGTTAGCAATCCGGGGTCACATGACCCACGTGCGGGCAGCTCTGATGGTCTCAACATCAAAACTGAGCCAGGCACGTACCAGCCGCCAAGGAACAACAATGCCAGGATCTGGGTAGTCGCAGAAGCAACGCAAGGCTTGCATGCGAGGCTTTTGGAATCCCCCAAGTTTGTCGGACTGTGTTCGGCTCGTGAACTGGGAACGAGGCTGCTCGTTGTGAGAAGAGCTATTGCTGCTCAAGTACACACATGCTTGCAGTCCCAAAATCAACGTTCAAACCGGCATAGCGGTACTTCGTCTGCATTGGGACCCTTTAGACGTGCTTCTCACTGGGCCCCGCACCACCGGAATGGTCCGGCTCATGTAGACGTTGACGCCCTTGGAGATGAGGAAGCCTATGTCCACCACTCTTTTGGGGCCTTGGTCCTGCAAGGTGCTTGCTGGAGCGGAAGCCATGCGCGGCCCCTTCCGCCAAGTTCCGAAAGGGAGCACTGGGTTCGATTTGGGTATGGGTCAGAATTACACCACCGGGGGACCGCAGGTTTTAGTCTTTGTCTCCATTTAGCGGGGTTCCATTTTGGGTACATATTTTTGACCCACACCCATTTATCTCCATGAGTCGACGAGCAAACAGGCCATCCTCAAGAAGAACGAAGGAGGTGAAGTAGGAGACGGTGAAAAGCCCCAGCGACGCTCCGGCCAGGGAGTAGAACAAAGCCTTCAACAACACAAACCTCCACTGCTCTTGCTTAATACAAACTGGTGGCCTTTTTGCCGGCAGACACCCCAAATGGAACACAAAGACTTGCTCATCTCTGCCAGAACTTCCAGCCCCGCTGCTGTTGAGCCGCGGTTTGTGGCAAGTGGTAGGCAAACATCTGGTTGATCTCCCGCATGGTCCTCACATGCGATCTTTCGCCGGAGTAGTGAAAATGGTGGCCACTCTGACATTTTACTGGTGGCCCAAAACGAATCCGGGGTCTCCAAAACTGTCTGTGTTGGCACCTCCCAAATGCCAGCTGCTCGTAATGCAACCAAGGATCGCATCAACCACCGGCTGCATCTCCGGCCCGTAGGGCGGCCGCACTTCCTCACAGCATGGCCCTCAACCATTCTTCCCAACATTCTGGCCTTCCCCGAGCCCAGACCACATTCTCCCAACTTGTCCCCGAGCAAATCAAAGCACTCTCAATTGCGCGGACGTAGGTCCTTCACATACGAGATTTCTTCGGAAATGATCTGGAAGGCAGAGCCACGGGTCGAGAGGATCATCAGCACCTGCCGGGGCTGCTCAGTTTGGGCGGGGTGGAGGGAAAAGAAGAAAGCTCGGCCCAGGCACGGTGCTGGCGAGGAAGCACAGCACCTGAGCGGGCGACCAGCGGATCTAAAGCGGCCGTCGAAAAAGAACGAATGTTTGAACGGACCATGGATTTGCTCTGTTTTGTGCGGGCTAAACACACAACAGGGCACTGTAAAGGAGGGGCTCTCTTGCTGCAAAGGCACCCAGATCATCATGCACCATGCCGCCCACCAGCTGAAGGTGCCCTCAAAAATCACGACTTCGTCCGGCTGCCTTAGACAACCGCGCCCGCTGGCTTGAACTTGCCAATTCGGGTCTGAGGCAACCCCTCCAAGCGAGTACAATGCCTCATAGAGTGCAAGCAAGCACCGGCCCCAAAAAAAACTAAAATCAGGCACACCCTTGCTGCCAAGAAGCGTCCTGGCTTCTTGGCTCTTGGGCGGCATGCCTACCCAAGGCTTGGCATGCAATAGGACCTCTATAAGCTGGCATCCCCCAGCTTCTGACCAACGTCAAAGTCAAACCTCAACACAGTCCAAAACCCAGTGGGGCAGCACCACGGCGTCCCGAGAAAGAAAGAGACGAACTCATGCTTGAAGGGAAACGCTCCTGCATCTACCAAGCATAGGTGGGTCACCCTCTCCCAGCTTGCCGCTGCCGGCCTTTGAGGCCGCCGAAGAGCCACACGGGCCTGACTCAAGAGTCGCGCGGCATCGATCAGCCAAAAGCCTATGGCACGCGGCCAGTTGACCAGGTGCGGGAGCTGGCCCCTTTTCCATAATATTTAAACAATGACTTGCGGAAGCCCTCGATAACACAAGCACACACACACACACTCACACGCACTCCATGACAAGGTTAGGAAAGCTGCAGATGCTTCAACCACCTCTATTCCCCCAACATCACGGGGTGGTCTGCAGCCAAGGTGCTGGACAAGGCTCACTGAAAGGCATACATGCAAGTCTCCGCAGCATGGGCCGCTTCACAAGACAACTTGAGTGGCACCGTTATGCCATGCCGAATTGTGTCTGCGTACGTGCCAGCGATGCATGTTTGATCCCACCAAAGGGCGGTCATTTCTTGGTGTGCCTGACTTCTATAATTGCTTGCGATGTGTCTTAAAGGCTGCCTACCTGTGCGCCACAACGATGTTTGAACCCATGCAAAGGTCGAGTCTCGACATGCCTAATCAGCGAACAACTATGCAATCACAACTTGCAAAGGCCTCACAAAGCTTGCTTGCGCTTTAGAGCTCTGGGTTGGAAGCGTTCTGTTGGTCCACCAGGCTTGTCTGGCAGTTCGCCTCAGAGAGCGGGCAACACCTGAGGAGCCGAGAGAACCTATGCCAGGGCGTGAGCGAGACAAAGCCTTCGTTGTGGAGCTTCTTGCTCTCACCCTCAGCGCCACATTTCCGGAGCCAAGTCTGCCCTTGGAGGTGTGTGCCGGCCTCTGATGCAAAAGCGATGTTCAGGCTGGAGTTGGTACGAGCCTTGGTGCGTCCCACTGAGGCGAAACGCAGAAAGTTTGCACTGAGCAAACGACCGAAATGGCGCGAAGGCCCTGCAGAAGCTGCTCCTCTACCTGGCGCATCCAGTTCTACCAAGCTGGGGAACTCGTGCAAGTCGGTGTTCTGATCGCGCAAGAGCCGCTCCTTTCCAAAATGGGTTTGCCTCAAAATATGGGGGCCTGCAAAAATGCTGGTCGCCCTTCTTGTCCAAATTACAAAAACAACAGGCACCCTCCGAAGGAGCTGCCCACATGACAGGCAGCGTCTCGTGCTTGGGTGCTGCTCATCTGAAGCACGCCCACCGATCCCCTGGCCTTTGACTGCTCTGCCGGTGTCAGCCAGGCCTCGGGTTGGAGAGGGTGGGGTGACGCCCGAGGCGTCGGCAAGACATTGGCCAAGTCCAAAGGAGTTCGCTCGTGGGAATCCCTTTGACGTCGTACACTGGTGGCCAACGGCCTCTAATCACCCACACGAGTTGGACTAGTTGCAGGAACCACTTTCATGACATCACTCGGATGCAGGATGGCCAAGGACAATGACAAATGTATACACAGTACTGCTCACATGGGCGAGAAACCATTTGCGACTCATGCCATCTGACTCAATTTCCACACTGCCCACAACTTCAGCCACCTTCCTTTGCTCTCCAAGCATCATTCCACCACTTGTTGCGCAGTTTCCAGGGGACGGTCCCAACAACACCAGCTCAGGGGCGCTTTAATGCCGGCACGGCATCGCGTGAGAGAAAAGAAGCATGAAGCGTTCACAAACAAGGCATCCTAAAGCGCAAAGACGCCCTACAAATGTTCATGTCCAACGTTTTTCCCATCGCCACCCATCTTTCGATCAACCACCAACCCGTAAGGAAGACCTGCAAGCCTTGCTCGGTCGGGAATGCCCATTCCGCTGGGCCGCCCTGCTGCAGTAATGAGGCGCCGCCCTTTGTGCGGGGTGAAAGGCCTGGGCGGGCAGTGGTTCTGCTCCAACGCAGGTGACGCCTACCAAACGGCTCACAACAGGACCTTCGTTAATTCTGCGGCCTTGGAACGCTTGCAGGCTGGGAAGGGAACCATTCCCTTTGGAAGCCGCCAGGTTGTGCTGAGGGAGGAGCGGTTCCAGGTTACCTACGTGGGCTAGAGACATACAACTATAACACATGGCTCAGACCCGGCCGGCCCTCACACCCCGTGTTGGCATGTCCCACGCGCACTCGTTTCAGAGCCAGCCTGTGCTCTGCGCTGAGCAGCCGGCACGCCCACGAACAAACGCGGCCAATGCCATCGCTCATGCCTTCGCGAAGCCTCGGAATCAAAACTGTCTCAAAAGCTCAATGAGCAAAGTCAAAACCTCCGATGCTCAACCAAACCCATCCCAGGAACATTTCCCTTGGAACACTCCAGTGGGGCACTTTCTTTGGGCATTCCTCACCCCCAGAGCCTTTCAGAGCCCCAGATTGCCCTGATGCACCCTCCGATGCACCCTCCGTGCCTCGATCCACTCCGCCTCCTCGCAGAACTCGCCCTCGCTGTGCATCTTCAAGTACATCCTTACGGCCCGGCGGCGTATTGTATGGCCCGCCCATGCCCCCACGAAGCACGAGGCGGCTCGTTGTAACGGAGATGGCAAATTGCTGCAATGCAGGTCTGGGTTGCTCAGCTGCTAGGGCGCCTGCGGAACAGCCCCCATGAGCTGCAGACCAGACCGTCCAGCGCGGCACGCCTCAGCTTCTTCTTGCAGGATCTCTGAGTCTCTGTGAACGGGGCAGGCGAAACAAGATCCCCATCCAATCAGCGGTGCAGCGAGCGCTTTTGAGCCTCGCCCAACCGATCCATCCATCGCTGGCTGCCAGCTGCTAGGCCTTGTGATTCGTCGTAGCTGCAACGCCAGCCCAGGCTCTGCGCCAGGCCGCGACCGCCAGGGGACTCGCCGTGCGGGCAACCGATGTACTGCTCCCATCTTCGCAGGTTCACTGGCAGCCACCATGCTGCGCCACGTCTGCAGCCTGGTTCTGGTCGCGGCCGTCCAGATCGTCCAGATTCCACCATCCGGGATCCAATTAGGGAGGATTGTCTGCCCAGAAGTCCTGGAAGGGAGCCAACACTTCCCGTCAAAAGTTGTCCATACCACTGCACTTGGTCTGAGACATGCTCTCTCTCTCTTCCCTTGCTGTGCCGGAGAGCCCCCAAAAGGCCGTGTTCCTTTGAATTCCCTCAAAACCAACTTTGAAAGGGTGCCCTCAAAATCAGTACACCCACGCCTGCCCCAAATCCGAGCCTGGAGTTTCTGGACATCGTTCATCTTCCTGCGTCAAGGCTTAGGAGCCCAACACCCACTGCAGCGACTCAAATCTGAATGGCAGGGAGGGGAAAGAAAGAACACGAGCCACAGGCGACCGCACAGGGCAACCATAGGCAGAGAAAAGGTGAGCCGAGAGAGCGAAGAGGCCAAGGAGAAGCCAAGAGCCACAGCGCAGGGCCGCGACCAAAACGCTGAGAGGAGATTGAAAAGAGCGGGGCCGAAGGCTGCAGCGCAGGGCTGCAACTAGAGGCCACGAGTGGCAGAAAGATTGTGAGGAACGAAAGGGAGACAAAGAAGCCACAAATGTGGCCACTACATTTGAAGCATCCCATATCTCCATGTGGTAAACACAACCTTCCTCCCATTAATTGCGTGCCATGTATGTTCGGAAGCAGGGGTCTTGAATCACAATCACATATGACAATGCTTGACTCCAGCCCCGATGCCATGAGCTCACAAAGATGAGGCCACATGTACAACTCGAGCACCCTGGCAATTTTTGCGCACACCACTAGACATGCACAGATAAACGCGCGCGCGCACGCACATGGAAACCATGGTTGGGTCATGTTCATAGTGGCTCCCCACAAGGACCCCCCCCCCAACCCTCTACATGGTAGGGCGAGCCCCCAACGATCTCAAAGCAAAGGTCAGTGTCCACCACCCGCCCCCGCACCCAGGTCCCTACGGGTGCGACTGGCATGTTGCGAACAAGGGCGGGCGTCGGAGCTGCTTCCCTCTGCAGATTTGTCTTCGGGCATGGCCTGTCCTGCAAGAATGCCAAGTCTTTTCTCACAAGGAAGGGCTTGCAGGTCTGCGAGTGTCTTTTTCAGCCCCTAGCAGGTGGATATAGACAACCGCCAGGACCAAGTTGGGTTCTTTTTCAAACACGATGCAGTGCTGCAAACTATGCAGCACGTCGATGCATTTTCGAACGTCGAAGCACATTAAAGTATATAACACTTTCGTTCAGACTGCCTAAGCATAACATTGCAGAACCTTCTGTGAGTGCCTGCGGACCAAGCTGCAACTATACCGTCCTAACCTAGGACGCGTATGCCGAAACATGGCTGGACAACTCGTCCCTAATAGCGGTTCATTTCTGGAAGCTCCACCTCCTCACTGGCAAGCCGCTGCTCCGCCTCGCCACGCCTGCGGAAGTAGACGCATGCCCCGACCGCGGCAAGCGCTGCAAGGCCCACTAGCCATGGGATGGGGTTGAAAGTTTCTTCCACAAACGTGGTAGTGGTGTACGTGGTGGAGCTTGCAGTAGTTGTCGTCCATGTGGTGCTCGACTTGGTTGCGGAAGCTGACGTGGACGTTGCTGTTTGCAGTACTGCTGGTACTACTCGTCTCAGTGACCGTGGTCTTGGTTATTGTCGTTCTTGTCCGAGTGGTCCTCGTAGTGGTTGGACCCACATGGGGGAAATCGCCGCCTGGTCTGGGAGGAGCCAGTGTGCGAGCGACGGCCTTCGAGCCCACGGATTTCGGGGTTAGCCCGAAGCAGGCCCCGTAAGAGACGTTGTAGGTATACGCGCATTCCACCTCGCTGCCCTCGTGCCAATATCCGCTAATCTTGGTCCAGCCTCCTTTCTAAAGGCGTAGATTGCCCAGCAATACCGGCCCCACTGCAACTCGCCTACACTGCTGCATGAATTTGGGAACTCACCAAAAGGCTTGACACATTGCAACTCCACCGATTTGCAGTACACAGGATTCTCCCGTGTCCCTGGGCTCGGCCATCACCACCTTCCCATCCTCAGGCTGCAAGTACATCTCCCACAGGCATCCAAAGTTGCAGTACATGAACTGAGACTCTTGGCATCATCCTGGGCATCAATCACGGCCTCTGCACCCGCATACGTGCAGGCCCCCGGTCCCTTTCCGTCTCCCTTTCTCGTTCACGCGACATAGGCTGTCTGCGGGCGCAATGCCAGCTAAGACGCAGGCTCTGAACATGGTGAACATGGCGCAGGACGGAAAGGATCGACATGGCTTGGAGTAGTCTAACCAAATTTCGAGGCTTCATCAGAGCTGGCTTGCGATGTTAGCTCCTAACAACAAACTTTGACAGCTTGGCGTGGTAGCTGCGTTGTCGTGCAGCTGCTGGCTTCCAGTCTAGTTGCCACACTACACAAGACACCCGAGTACCATTTCCTTTTCCTTTACTCAAATCTCTCCCCTTCATTCACCAAACCCCCAAGAAAAAATATACCCCCTTTCTTCACCGCAAATTTTCCCCAACCCTCCCCCCTCCTTGGATGTGGCTGTGGGTCAAAAATTGGTACCCAAAATGGGTTGCCCGTGTAAGAGGAAACATGGACTAAAAGCTGTGGTTTCATTTTTGCCCACCGCCGTTTGAGGCCTTCGCC